TTTCGCTCTTTTATCCAAATGGGCAACCAAAAGACAGCAACTAAAACCGGTGCACGAAAGTGCATGGTTAATGGTTGCAACAACTAATGCAGAACAGATCGAGCAACACTCTCCGTTAGGGTACAGTGACCGCATGGTATTGCCTTTTCGTTGGCGGAATTCTACCCACGCACCCCTGGTATTACATAGAGGTTGAAATGCGTGGCACGCAGTTTGACACGGCACGGGCGGCCACCATGGCTGTGCCGTGGCTCCCACCGATCCCTCACGAGGTAAATGATGTAGATTTGGTATGGGAACGCATTCGGGACGGTATCCTCCACCTTACTGACACGTTTGCCCCAGCACTCTCACTAGACCGCGAACACTGGGGCTACCATGGTTTGATCCTGAACTGCGACGATCACTCCGGCGCCGAAATCGCGCTTGGCGAGCTTTTCGGGCCACCGGTGCAGGCTCTGTCGGAGAATTCAGAACGAGTTGAAACTATCCAAGCAGAGGAACTTCGAGGAGAAGCTGGCAACTGACTCAGTGAAGGCTCCTAAACGCCTCTTTGCTTACCTAAAGCTGCGCACGAGAGCTAGAGCTGGTATCCCAGCGTTGATCGATGGAGTTGACACGGTTGACACCGACGAAGGTAAAGCGGATGCACTGTCCACACAGTACCGCTCCGTGTACATGATACATGCTGGCTCCCCACCAACAGCAGCCAGAATCACATCGATGTTCACCTTCGAAGAGTTTTCTGAAGGGAAGGTAACAAGAGTGCTCCAGTCGATCAAGACGAGTCAGTCTCCAGGTCCGGATGGTGTTCATCCCCTCATGCTCAAGGAGCTGGCGGTCCAGCTCTCCCCCTCAATTACGTGGCTATTCAACCTGTCAATGCGCTCGGGAAGACCGCCCCAATAGTGGAAGAAAGTGGTTGTTGTTCCGATTTACAAGGGCGGAACGAAAGCTGCACCAGGCACCTACCGCCCCGTGAGCCTCACATCGATTGTCGGTAGGACGATGGAACGGTTGGTGGTTTCACGACTTACGGATCACCTTAAGCAACACTAGTGGATGTGTATGGAACAACACGGATTCCGCCAGAGGCGTTCCTGCATGAACGATTTGCTGCTTGTTCGGGAACGTTGGTCTAGAGGCAAGGACGAGGGATATGGTACGGACATTGTCTTCGTTGACTTCAGCAAAGCGTTCGACAAAGTATCTCACTACAATTTGCTCACTCAATTCAGGGCTCTGGGTGTCACAGGGTCCACACCTCGCTGGCTGGAGGATTTCCTGAAAGGAAGATCCTTCTCAGTGAGTTTCACAGGCGCAATCTGCGTGATTCACAGTCATCAGTGGGTAGAGTAGGTGTCTCGCGCCTTCCAGAGTGGGGTCCGAAAGACACCACAAGTGGTTGGTTGGAGGTATCCCTTACCATTCTGGTTACTAAACGCTATACTTTCTCAAGACACCGTTCATCCTGTTTAAAATAAGGCGCCCATACTTGTACGCAATATTCTGAATGAGGACACAATAGTTTTTTAAAAAGGGACGAAAACCTCGGATCTTCTGCAACTTACAACAGTGCACAATCTGAAAAGTTGGTGTCGAGCTTTGTTAGTCGCTCGCTTGCACTGCAGGGATGGCCTGAAGTCATTTGTAATCACTACCCCTAGATCCCTTGCCTTAGAGAAATGCTGCAGATGCATAACACCTCTCGCGTCATCTTTGGCTCTTATTGTCAACAGCTGACCCTTACCCAGATTTAGTGGTAAATGCCATTTATTGGACCACTTTCGAACTGCATCTAGATCTTGTTCCAGCCCTTCCCCAGTAGGAGGAAGCCCGTCTGGCCCTGCTTGGATGCAAGAACGAACTTCTCCTGCAGTAGGAGGTTCAGATGACACTGCCCATGGAACCTCAGCTACATCGGAGGAGATAGCCTGGTTAACGCCTGGCCAGTTGCACTGTTCGTTGAAGTACTCCGCCGATCGGTCAAGCCGTTCTTTCCTATTATGAATAGCTTGCCCACTTTTGTCGCAGACTGTTTCACTAACTGTGGTTCGCCGACCTTTCGTATTGCGTATCAGTTGGAATAGTCTCTGACTATTCCCTGACGCAGCCGCTACTTCCATTTCACTAGCTATCGTTGCCTACCACTTCTCACGGTCTTTCTTGAGGCTCCTCGTGAGATGACGTTGTAGACGCCACCTAACCCTGCCTTGATCCCGGGTGGTTGGGATTTGCCGCTTTTTCTCCATCAGTGCCACTGAGTGATCAGATACTCAATGCCTCGGGTGGCCTACTGCTTCAGATCCACAAGCAACATTCGCTGCGGAGTGTATTGCTCGTGCATTGTTCATTTACACTACCCCGCACTGCGTTCAGTTCTTGCTCTAGTTCTGATTCAAAACAGGCACGAGCGGCTGGGTCAGATAAGCGATTATCTGACAATCGAGTTTGGTGGAATTTTCTGCCACCAGTGAGTTGGAGAGTGAACTGCATCAAAACTAACGCGCGATCAGATTCAACGCAGGTGGTCCAATAGGACCTGCAGTTTTGTACTGAGCCACGCCAACGGTAACTTACTGCATGTGGTCGTTCTGAGTTAGCGTGCCAGTTGAATTTGAGCGCCACGTTGCTCTCCGTTGAGAACTGTGTCGGAAGTTGGTGCTGGATAGGAACGGATGATGATCTGCGCAGAACTGAAGAGGTCGATCGCCATTATCTGTCCGCTGGTGGGGCAGAGCACAATGACCGCCTAGACAAGCTTCCGATGCACTCAATTTTCCAAATTGAGCGTTAAAATCACCTGAGGGAACAACTATATCGAAGCTTCGACTCAATCGAATGAGTTCGATGAGTTTATCATAAAACTTGTCCTTTTGTGCGTCAGTACTGCAGTTGTTCGGAGCATACGCTGAAATGATGAATAAACACCTTTTGGTGTTGCTTCCCTTCCGGATGTTGATAGACCCTTTGAGCTGGATCGCATGTAAGCGGCTGTTGACGGGAATCCAATCGAGTAGTGCGACTTCGGCTGTATTATTCAGTACAATACCCACACCACGCTGGCCTATTGTACGGGCTTCGTCATCACCTGACGTGCGGAGGAAGAACCTCGAAGACAACCCCGGTGCACTTAAGTGGCATATAGTAGTAGGATCCTGAATTTGAGTCTCCGACACGCAGCAGACATCCATTCCCAAAGAGTCCATTGTACGCGCCAGACATGCTTGTTGACCTACCTGCATTAGAGTCCTCACTTTGAAGACCCCCAGATTCAGTGGCTGACGAAGCTTCAGAATATGCAATCTATTTTGTGGTAAACTACTTACCGAGCTACTTGGCAACGAACTTTGGTGANGGGATATCGCGGGGTGGAATGGTAGGGTGAGTAGCCCCAACACAAGACACCCACAATTGACCCTACCGAGGCTTTCGGACCTATGTCCTAATGGACCTATTGGTTCTTGTTTGTCTTTCACTTTTTCTGCTTTGTAGGTTAGCTGAAACACCGAAATCTATTGACTGAGAAGTCTACTGTCTGAGCATTGTGGACGTCTGTAATTAACTGTCGGAATTTCGCTCGGTTACCCGAACAGGTCCAAGTTGTGACCTTTTATAACGACGCCAGTGGTCGCCGACATCTAGGATCGCGTTGCACTTGATCGACCTTCTGCCTATTTGTTATGATATTGTGTTCGCTATCATGTGAGTTTCATGGGGTTTGTAGATATGGTTCCTCCATTTTACTACAGGGTAACTGAAACTCATGAGTCGGACGCACAAGCGACATACAACGTGAACGAAGGAACAGAATGTGGAAAAATTGTTTCTGTAAACAAAACTCTCGTTGGCTGCCGCGTAGTTCATGAAGATCATTTTGGAACTATTTGTTATGCTGGTGATCTTCCCAAATCTAAAGGACCATGGCTAGGAATTGACTGGGACAATCCTGCTCGTGGGCGTCATAATGGGGTGTATTCCGGTGTCAGATATTTTGAAACCAAAACAGATACATCAGGATCATTTGTCAGGTACGTTTACGTTGAAAGATGACAGCACCGTACCGTGCGATATTTTCATTCGATTAAACTTTGGTGCCGGAACACATTACTAAATTACAGAATTGGTGTTGGTTCTTTTCGAAGACTTCATATGATTAACAGCTTCCAAGCATGATTTTGATAGAAGTCGGGTGAAATATGTTGTCTGTTGTTTTACCGTTTATTTTTACTCTTAAGCATTGAGGTGTTTCATTGGGTGCCGGTCAAAGCTTCGTTGATCTTGTGTTCACGTAATTTTGTCTAGGTTAAGTTAAAATGCATGAACAAGCTTGGTTCTGTCTAACTTGTAATATAGTCCCTACGTGGTCCTTCACAAATGCATCTAGCAGCGGTGTCTGTTGAGTGTAGCTTGTGTATGTAGTTTTGCAATCCTAGAAAGAAAAAAACAGAAAATTTTCCCCTTGAAAATACCAATCAAGGGTCCGTTGCAGTTTCCAAACATGTTAAGTAACCAATGAACTAACTGTTTGGTTGGGCGAACGCGTTGCGCATAGAAAAAAGCAAAGTCGGTTTTGGTCAATATGAGGCATCTGTGGAGTCACCATGTAATTCGCTTCCGCATGAGCCATGGTTCAAAATATTCTATATTCTATTTCATTATTTGGCCTCTGTGTCAAAGATGCATGTTGGCCTTTGCTATTCGATCATTACCATCTCTGAAATATTACCCACATCTGGCATGTAGTATTAAAACGACTTCCGTGGTCATTTGAGTTTAAGTTCTCAAACCTATATTACGCGAGTAATGACGCGTTCCGATTATATTTATTGAACATGACTAGACGTCTGCCAACCGAAAGGATTGTGCCACACTTCCGGTGCCGATCGTTGTTTGCGATTCCTGAATGTAGTTAAAAGAAATATCGTTACTATCAGTCCACCTCGACCCAAAGTCGAGTGACGCTGGGGACGATTGCTGTACCTAACTCCCAAGAAATTTCATGGATATTCACTTGATATCCATAAAGCCGGTTTATCCTCTCCCAGGAGCCAGCCGCCGTAAAGTAAATTACAAGTAAGTATTTGTTTGACACGGTCTATACACCCTGAGACGACTGCTAGTTGTACTGCTTTGGCATAGATATACGATATTTTGTAAGTTAGTTATGTGAGAGAGAAAAAACGTGATACCGAAAGGGGAATCTTCGGCGCTGCTGCTTGTGATTGTTTGGGATTTAAATACACACTACGCTCAGTTCTCTCTCTCTCTCAATGAGAATGTGAATGTTCGCCGGAGTAAACCAAAAATCATGCTTTGGATTCTGTAGTCTTCCGTTTTCCATCCACTCATTCCCTCAGAAAACTATTGGGCGGTTTATACACTCATTCACTTCGTGTTCTAATAATAATGATACAAGTTGATTTGTTGATCAACACTCTTCTTTCTTTTGATCTTAGGCCAGATAAAGTTTCTTTGGGAACTAGCATTGAAGAGGCACTGGTATACCGATATGTTCTTTGTGCTGAATGTCAGATGTCGGTCCAGAAACTTCCTCCTTTTGTGGACGTGGTTAACAATCCAGCGTTGGCAATGAATTTTTCCAGTGGACCAATTCAACCTTCCGGGGTATCTAGACGGCTAGAAGCTTTTTTCTCTGGAGCACTTACTGCCGAGGAAGCGGAGTACTCCGGTCAAGGAGGAAATTCAACAGTTCCTTTCAGGATTGAACTATTTACGACCCCTGCGCGCACGAAAGTTAATTCTTCTGAGGATGGCTCTACTGCTGCTCGGCACAGAAATTGTGGCCCACAAGGAGCGGAGTCTCTATTGAAACGTTTACGATCGGTCAGTTTGACACTCATTCCTGTCTTCCGCGCCTTGCGAGCTGGAACTGAACCAGAAACTGCTCCGTTATGGCCACTCTCAGGTGGAACCCTAGGAATACTGCTGCCCAATCTATCAGACCTGGAGCTCAGTGGATGTCTATTATCAAGATGGATCGACGTAGCTGAGGTGGGTAGGTTAGTTTTAGCGTAACACGGTTTGAGTTGCAGTCGGCATTTTCATCCATCAATCTGTATGACTCACCGCGCTTGTAACCAAACCATTCGTTTCCAAACGCAGATAAATTGTCGATGCTTCGTGTAGTTCAGTTATTGAGATATTGGCCGTCATGAATGGCGAATTCCATTTGGCACTGCGAAATCTCGTAGCTTACACACACGCATGCACCCTTTCATCGCAAACTAAATTTGATAGTAGAAAGCTTTGTCGTCGACCATTTCAATATCGCGCCTATCCATTGGAGGCCGTGTGTGGATTAGCTTGCCGGTTATCATGAATGCATTGTATCATCTGTGTGTTGACCATAGAGTCTCACATTCTTCCCCTCACTCACGCTAGGTCCAATATCTGTCCACCTTAAATTTTACCACTAACCTTGTATGCATTGCGAGTTTGGCAGCGATCAGTAAAGTTCGCTTCGCTGTACAATGGTGATGGTGATGAGCATCATCTGATCTCAGCAACGATCAATTACATCTGTTGAGTCAGAAAAATCAGTCAAATGTAGTATCTAAGGTTTATTAGTCTCAAATTGTGAGTAGGATAGGTGAAACGAAAACCGGAAAAGCATACGTCAATGTTGAAACAGAATTGGAATTTCATCCCTGAAACGTCTTAAAATTACAGGCTTTTCACAGAATACAGTGACTGCTCGTGACTACAGGCTGTTTGGTGTTCATCTTACACTGGTTTATATTTAAAATTCACGTACTGCTTATGTCTGTCCATCGTTTTTACTAATCTACTTTGTTTGCGGCTCCTGTGTGTGTGTGTGTGTGTGTGTGTGTGTGTAGTCGAAGCAACTGCTTAATGATCTCATGAATTCACACAATGGCGCAAAAATTTGACTTCACGGTGCCACCTGTTAGAATCCAGGTGAATGGAATACTTATGGTAAACTGTGGTATACATATAATGCAATAGGGCTAGTGCATCTTCGTAATCTCCGTGTAACTACGAAAAAATACGGACATCCGTATAAAGAGAACAACAATTGTGCATTTATGCGTAGTGGTAGTAGGTGCGCAGTAACTTTTTAATACTGAAAAATTAACGTGTAACCATTTTAAGAAGTAACCTTGTTGAAAACCGCTTTTCCGGTAAATTATAGTACAAAGCACACATTCCGTTTCTTATATACTATTACCGCATAAGGAACTCCTGACAGATCTTTCTGAGAGAAAAGTAGTTTTAAGTTCCTCTTTCACATCAAGAAAAATGAAAGTTATTAATCTAGGACCTGTGCATATTTTTTAACATTTGACGAAGTTAGAAATGCGGTGGACGAAAATTAGATGGAATTTAAAACCAGTTTAGTTCTTTCGAGTGCACTGTTCATAGGCGATACAAATGTAGACGCAAGCGAGTGATCTCGTGGGACAGGGCTTAACTTTTTTTTAGCAAAAAACTCTTTGTCTTTATGCGTTAGCCGGGTACCTAGCACGAATCCTTAGGAAGTTACTTGTTGTTCCACAAAGAGTTAATTTATGTTAACTACAGGGCCAGAACTGAATGCCCATCCCTGAAGTTAGTTCAGATGATCTTAAACAATCCGAGGCCGTTTTTCTCGTCAGTGCTATCCGTCCGAAATAGTGAGATGAACAAACATAATTGTGTATTGTTCTTTTGTGCAATGATCTCCGTATATTATCCATTTGTTCTAATTCTACTCGAATTACATACTGAAGGAAGCTAATAAATGATTGGTGTCTTGTTAGAAGAATTCGACAACAAATCTCATTTGTTCAAAAATGCTTATTTTAATAATTCCATTTTGATATTCTATATAAATTCTGCTTGGTGTGGTATTTCCTGTCACTTTCTCTGTCTCTCTCTCCCTATCCATATTTAGATATGCATTCAAATACCGTGGCTAAAGTCACTCACAGTTAGCAACAATCGTATCCGTTTACCTTTGCCTCCTGACTGGGCGTCAAACGCGGAGCCTGTCGCCAATCCAGATACCATGCGTTTGCAGTTTGATGTGGATACGAATCCGCAAGAGGCCGAACGAATCTGTGCGACTGCATTTCCCAACATTTTTCAGCTGATCCTAGTCCGATTAGGTTGCCTTGACTGGATCGGGGTAATGCGCATCATTCGTTGGACTCCATCAATCAAATCGCTTGCTGTACCGTACAATCCCGTGAGTTTCGTGTTCCACATCAGCATGATCCTTCCCACGCACAACTATTGATCACAGCAACTGATCAGCACGACATCGGTTATCGGTTTTTAACAGGCTCTGTTTTCAGCCATCACTTTCCCTCTGATCACAAGGACTACCTTTTTCTATTTGGCGAAATATGTCACTGGTGCGTTCAGGTTGCACATGCTCCAATTTGAAAACAAGCTACTGCGTTGCTCACGTTCGGCGTACCCCATTAGTGGTTTGACCATTCACCTACGCACACAGTTCAAGCGAGTCGATCGATAATCGATTCCGCAAGCACAATCCATGTATTCGCTGTTCTCCGAAACCACCCTCTCCTAAAACTTCCGAGATTTTTTTATGCTCATTCGCCTGCTTGAAACTGATGCTTAACTGTGGGATAACTGATCCGTCGACTTTGGCTGGAATATTTGAAATTAATTATCATCCCCAGGGAATGGTTAATCGATGGAGCATAAGAAAAAACAGTTGTGTTGCTCAAGCATTCGGCAACAAAATGCTTCTTGCCAATCGTGTGTAATAGCTGTTGCTGTCTTAATTATTCAACAAGTTTTATTAGAGGCTATCACGTGAAGAGAGCTAAGAGGTAGCCATCAAAATAATGACATTTATTAAGCCAATTGAAACTACCACAGTTTTTTGTGGTTTAAGTCATTTTGTTATTCGATTCAAACTTAACTTACCTCTAAATGAGCTCGCAACCTACCTTTCTTTAACGCCCCCCTCCCCCTCTTCCGTCGAAATTGTAATTATTTGCTTTTCCCATTTTTTAGTCTGCGTTCTCATTAGTAATTGTAACATTAACACTAATATTCATAACAAGATTCTTTTCGTCGAGCACAGTTTTTTTCAACTCAAATCAATATGCGCTTTGCGCACTCAGCGGGGTAATTTTCAAGTCAGATCGGTTGAATTGCGTTCCACAGCGTTCTGCTCGGACCGCACAGTTGTCCTTATTTCACGCCTCATACGAACCATTCTAAAACAACCGACCAGTAAGTGATTTCTGACCTTTTTCGTACACTGCTCTGCATCACTCAGTCGTAGCAGTCAGTCTCTCAGGTTAGAGTCACATTCGCGCTGTACCGAAATTCGCACGAAACTGTTTGAACGTGATTCTTGTCTGTCTACCTCCAATCTTCAGCTGGGTCCTGTGCCTGAGATATGGCCCAATCCGGTGATCGAATTGTTTCGACAGTTGATGGAATTAGATCTCACTCATACCGGTATCACCGATGTTACTCGGTTGTTCGCTATCCTCGGACCATCAACCGTGCTGGAGTCGTTGCTGTTGAACCAAAATGCTGTGGCACATTTGCCTGTGTTTCCCCTGGCGGAGCCTGTTACCGGTGATGGAACTTCCGATACTGCTCACAAACTCGGTTCTCTGCAGCACACCACATGGTTTCCTCAACTAAGTACGTTGGGTCTGCAGCAGTGCGCGTTCCATGATTGGGATTGCATGCGCCAGTTGATGCGATTGGCCAGACTGAAACATCTGATGTTCCTTGAATGTCCAATTCTAGAGAATATGAATATGTGAGTCCGTGTCTGGTGTAGCAAACATTTTTTATCATGCATACCTTGTTCCGGTCAAGAACGGAAAGAGTGAACTCCATAATCACAAGGACTAGTTGATTGCTCATAGAACAGGGCGATCTAAGTCCTTGAACGAACTACATGAGGCAGAAGTAGAGTGGGTGTAGTATTATGCCTGACAACAGTGAAGCTATTCACCACCAAAGTTGGGTGTCGTTGGCAGTGTTCGAACCTTTTAGCCCGAAGTACGTTTAGCCGTTCCCACTTAAATATGTTTAAGACATCGTGTTTCGGTTATCCAGTTCATAAGCAAACAAAAAAGGACAACCATTTAATAAATCTTACGCTCATCTTTATTACGGTATATAAACCATCATGTTTATGTCAGCGACATTGTTCTATGTATTGACAGAGGAACCAGTAAGAGCAAGCTTGTTCGCCATATAGTGTTGTTCTTCCAATGAACTCATTCGGAAAAACAAAGACTTACTGTTCGAGTTGAATATGTTGCCTAGCCTGGCTACGAACCATTTGCGAACAACATCCCCGGTTCGAAGAACACACCAACAACCACATCCACATTCCGAGGTACAATCATTATATCCAACAAACACTTACTGTCTATTCGTTCTCTGTAGTTATATGAAATACCCTAACTTGGAAATACAGGTGCTCTTAGTATTATTAGCCTACCGATATCATAAGACAATTTCAACTGAGCAAGTATTCAACCACAACTCACAGAAAAAGAAACAGAACCGGGTTTGTGGTAATGAGAAACATCGACAAAGGAATAAACCAAATAGATGTAAAACACTACTAGCTTTTCTACCTTCAGCTTTGTTCTTGATCACAAACACGAAACTGGGTTCACCCTTTGAATCAGTCTTGGTGTTTTGGGATGCACATTTACTTGTAACTCGTGTATTAATGCAACGTTTTTCAGTATGGCCCAGCATCGTCTCAGATGGGCTTCGATCGACTCATTACTTTAGGCTGGTTTTCTGCAAGCTTTCTTTTCTCTGGGTCCGATTGGTTGCCATATAATTTTGCTGTGATTAGTGGACCAAGCGTCGTAGACTCA